AGTCAGAGCACATAGAAAGAACGGCTGGCTTTGTTTTCCTGACTCAGGCAGGGTAATCTTTGAGATAACCTATCTGTAGACAGATTAGATGGCAACTTAGTGGTAGGTGGATGGTTGGATTATTTTAGAGGTCTTTTCCAACCTTGGTGATTCTATGATTCTGTGAGTCCCTTTGCCTCTTCTAACAGGTATTTTTCTGCTGTGTATGACATATGGAGTCCATATTGAGCAGCTGTCTCCTGCAGGGCACTTGGTGTGTCTTCATATCCCACATACCATTCCCTGTGCAGTGCAGGCCAGTAGGTGAGCGAGGTGGTAATGTGAATAGAGGCTGGGGCACGAGCACTAGCTGTGGATGAAAGGCTACTTTAGAGAACCACTGAAAATCTGAACAGGTCAGTCATTTAGCTACAGTTGCTGGGCTGAATGCTAGGTTGCTTTGAGAAAGGTAATTAGGATAATTACGCTTACGCAATCAAATCTTTTAATCCATAGTGAACTGCAGGCCTTAAGTGTTTAATTGTGAATAAGGTGAAGAGAGAGCATCAGCAGGGAGAAGAAAAGAAAGGCTTTGGGGAGCTTTTGGAGGTCATGTGGCACAATCTCCTACCCAAAGCAGAGACAGCTTTGAAGCTAGATCCAAATTTGAAGTTAGCTGAAGCTGCATAGGCTATTTGCGGGCAGTCAGGTTATTGGCATCTTCAAGAGTGTTGCTCCCACAGCTTCTTTAGCTCCAATATTGGCTGCTCCTTCTGTGAAGAATTTATTCCTGACATCAAGTGAGAATTTCTTCTGCTGCAATGCATCTGTTGTCCCGTGCTCTTCTTCTGTGCATCTCCAAGAGGAATCTGGCTGCACATCTATAACCCCTCAGTAACAAGATGGATATACTAGTCAGCTGTCCTGTTAGCTTCTTCAGTCTGATCAAGCCCAACACAGTTCCCTGATTGTGCCTCCTTGGATACGCTTCAGCGTGTCAGTTCCTCTAGCAAAGAAGGTAGGCAGGAGAAAACTGGACACAATGCTCCACTACAGAAGGATGGCATTCTGTTTTAAAATTCTTTTTTTTTCTTTTTCTTTTTTTCAATTTCCAGGAGTTCACCTGCATTCAGAAAAGCTGTGGTACTTTGACAGTGTCATTTCCAAGTTCAGGAGCTGGCTGAATAAACAGCTTCTAAGAAATATTTTGTAATCCATGAGCCAATGATACTGTAAGGAAGAACCCAGACACCAATAAAGCCATTCCTATCTTCAGACTGAATTCATCCATCATTGCTTTCATTAGTAACAATTACCATTTGGTCAAGCCTTCTGTCAAATGTGATGAGTTTGGTTTTAGTGTTCATTAGGGTTGTTAAAAGCTGCTTTCTGAGAAGAGTATTGCTTTTCCCCCTCATTTAGAGTAGCTATAAACACATTTGGCTGATAATTAAAACAGATGAAATCTATATTTCAAGTATTATCTCAACGTTCTGAAGTGATTTTTTTTCCAGTCGTTTTTTAATCTGTGGTAAGAGACAGTCTTTCATAGAGAGGCATGAAAAAACTACTGACTTTTATGCTGCTTTTTCAACAGAACTTATATTTTCCGATGCATTACATTCAATAAAATAAGTAGAAGGTTAAAAATGACCTGATGTGCCTTGTGATGCATTTGAAATCTATGTTCATCTTTAACAATAAATTTTTCACATTTGTTCCTTGACTGGATTCTTATAATTCCAGTGGTATGCAGTAGATGTATAGCTGGTTAGCAGCAACAGTTGCTGTGTGTGACTTTGTGAGAAATTTGAGTGCTTATACAGAAAGTTCTGGCATTAATAAATCTCTCCAACCTTACAGTTTTATATATACTGCTAGTAACAATTATTTTTACTGCGTGAGGTACAAAAGTTGCTGCTTTTCAGTTTTCCTCTCATTCTGCCCCGTTCTTTGTTGTGTGAGTTGTTTACTTTTAAAAGCATATGTACAGTTTGTATTCTGTAGACACACCTCTGTAATGATTTCTGAATAGAAAAAATCGTGTGATGAATGATGCACCTGTGTCTGCCAGCAGACTGATTCCTTGTAACCACGGCGTCAGCACAAACCTTCAACTTGCTCTCTCTTGGGCACAATCTTGTTCTAGGTGAGGAAGGGAGAAACTGGAAAACCTGTTTTGTGTTCTACATTGGTGACTTTGTTATCAGTTTTTTTTTTCTTTGTAACATTCCCTGTCTTGGAGTTTGAAGTTTGGTTTGGTTCAGTTTCTTTAGTTGATTCTAGTGGTTGACCCTGCACATAGCAGGGGGATTGAAACAAGATGATCACTGTGGTCCTTTTCACTCCAGGCCATTCTATGATTCTATGATTCCCTGTCATAGTTGTGTTTGGGTGCTGGTTTCTAGTGCTTGACTGGCCAACAGTGAAATGCGGAGAGCCCTGCATGCTGTGGCAAGTTTTGTTTGGAGAACTAAGAGTCTTTACAAATTGTATTCTGCAGGTATAGTGCAGAGAGAATCAGATGCACAATGTAGAAAGTTTCTGGGAAACCTTTTTCCTTACTTGATGCTGAACTCAGGATCAGTGTTTCTAACAGTTTAGTAAAGAACAATCAGTCTTATTTGCACACCAATAGGAGAAGTCTGTATTTTGGTTTGACACTGCAATATATGAGGGCTGCTCTGAAAGTAATGCCTCCTTTTTACAATGTTTGCCCATGATTTCACAGGTGGATGTTAGTGGGATGGCAGGAGGGGTTGAACCTTCCTGTTCCATGCTGTTGCCGTGTGACAGATGGCAGCAAAGGGCAGTCTGACAGAATGGTGTCTGGCATTGACATGTGGATGAAGCAAAGGGGTGTGCCTGATTCCTTTATTTGGAAAAAAAAGGTGCTCTCTGACATTCATCAAAGCTTAATGGAGACCAAGCAGTGGATGTGAGCACAGTGGGGCAGCTGATGGTGCGTTTCAGCCGTGGTCATGGTGACTGTGTCACCTCCACTGGTGCAGACTGTTATCAGCATGACATGTGGGCTCTTGCTCATCACTGGTGAAAATGCATAGCTAATGCTGGTGACTATGTTGAAAAATAGTGCTTTGTAGGTGAGACTTTGTTCTGTCAAACAGTGTCGTTGTGCTCTTCGTATCTGTTATTGCTTCGATGGAAATCAATAGGAAGCATTATTTTTAAAGCAACCTACATAATTTATATCTCTCCCAATGGATTCTAATACCATTTGTTACAGAAGATTAGTTTAAACACACATTCAAGATGTTTTGCACGCCAGATTTTTAAATTCCTGGTTCACAGCACTTAAGAAAGGTTGTGAGCTTGGAGAAGATTGGCTGTAAACCAGAGCCAAAGTTTTAATTCTTACCTCTTTAGAAATTATACACTGTCTCTGTTCACAGTTGCTCAAACTCGTTTTTTTTTTTTTTGTTTTTTTTTGTTTTTTTTTTTTTTGTTAAAAGTTATTTGTAGTTTAAGATGTAAAGTCTAAGACATTATTTCTGCTTAACCTTCACCATCTGCCTCTGACATCATAGTAAAATAGGAGGCATTACTTTTGGAGCCCTCATAATCAGTATTTAGTTGGTATTTACAACATCTAAAAACAGGATTGCTATTGCTTTGCTGCGTACCAGTCAGGGTTCTGTGGGCAAATTATACCACTGCCTGACATAAAAAAGTGTTATGAACATGTGTTACTTAAACAGAAGATTTAATTTTACAGAACAGTTTTCCACCATTAAAGATCAAAATTTGATTTCACTTTATATTTTACAAGGTGCATTTTAATGATGTTAATGAAAAAAAAAAACAAACTCCAGGGTATCTAGGAAGGCTGGTTTTGCTTTTACTCAAGAGCTTGGGTGCTCTCAAGTGGAATATGGGAGAGTAACACAACCAAAGCATAGGCTGCTAACCTGATCTTCCTTCATCCTTGCTCTGAAGAAGAGGTGCCAGTAGAATACCATCCTGTCTACAGGATGCAGACAGCGGAGCACAGACTGACGCCGACAACAGCAGAGGACTGGAACTAGAAATACGGGAAAAACGTTATTATTTGCACAGTCAGTGAAAGTCTCCCAGACCTTTCTCTCATTTGAACTGTCTTCTGCTGTGGGTTTCTTTACACAGTATTCAAAATACTCGCTGTTTGCATTTTGACTGTGAAATTGCTGCTTGTTCTTAGCAATTATTTTCCCTGTTCCTCTTGGGCCAGATTGTTGTCTTCTCTCTACCTTGAGGGCAGGTATCAGTTCATTGTGTTTTCTGTTACATGTATCTTTAACTTCCTCTTTTTTTCTCTTCTCCTGGGTAAAATTCTAAGTCTTTTCATGCATTTAGAGTTCCCTTGGTCTGCCTGTCATTGTGATTTTCCTTTTGCATTCAGCTCTATGTCCTGTGGCTACAGCTAAGGTTTTATTTTGCTAATGAGACGTTCTCATTGTTGTCGTGGTTTGAAAAGCAGCTGGATATCTCTTGTTCATCTGTGCACCATTTGCTTGTTCTGAAGGAATGACCTCGAATGTGCTTTATTTCACATGGAAAGATTTATGCACTATTGCTATTCAGTGTAGATATGGAGGAATTCACTGTAGCCCTAAAAAGGCCAAAAACTGAAATCTAATTCCTCAGCACCTGTTGGTACATCCCAGCAGGGATGGCACATGGTGGCAAAGGAGTGAAAGGACTCTACTCTCTGTGACTGCTGAGTTCTTGTTCTCTGTTTAATATCCAGTAAGGTTTAAAATATGCGTCTGTAGCAGTCATCAGAGATTAATATGACTTTTTTTCTTATTAAAGTGACACTATTCATAGAATCACAAAATGGTTTGGGTTGGAAGGGACTTTTAAGATCATTTAGTTCCAACCCCCTGCTATAGGCAGGGACACCTCCCTCTAGACCAGGTTTCTCAGAGCCCCATCCAGCCTGGCCTCCAGTGCTTCCAGGGAGGGGGCATCCACAGCTCCTCTCTGCTACCTGTTCCAATGTCTGACCTATGAATTAAAGTACGTACAGAAGCTGTAAGAAAAAAAAGCTTCCAAGAAGGCTTTTTGAATTTCTGCATCAGCTTCAGAATGTGTTGAGTGCAGCACAGGGTGGCTCTGGGAAGCACAGGCATAACAAGAATAGCTTGTTGGCATAGACTGCTGTCGTGGGACTGCAGTACTGCACATACATTGTTGTTGGTAATAGCATCCTTCCTGCAGCACTGTCTGACTTTAACCTGCAGGTACTTTGTTTTTTTGGCAGTTCTTCTCACCTCTTTATCGCAAACAAACAAACAAAAAAACATCAAGAAAATTTGTTTTCTGTTTTCTGTAGTGTGTGCTTCTGCAACTGGAAATTGGGACCTTTTCTTGTTTTGTCATTTCAGTACTCTGAATTTATGAATTAAATTAAATAGGAAAATCATGAAGACAGAGGAAAAGTTGCTATTTTTTCTGTCCCCTGATGTCTGAGCAGTTCTGGGATTTTGGAGGACCATAACTGATGGTCACACTTACTCGGAAAAGATAGTGCCGTGCATCCAGCTTGGTTTGTCTCTTGACCTCCTTATCTGGGAAAGCAGTGCTCCATCCGCAGGGCATGCTGCTGCTGTTCTGTGCATGGGCTTCTTGCTTCATTTGCAGCCTATGCAGAGGCAAGCATGCTTGTCCACACAGGAAGCCAGGCAGGAAATCACTTGCCACATTTCTCAAAACTGTGAGAGAAACTGTGGTGCAGTCTTTCAAATGGTGCCTGAAGTGCTCGGTTAGTGCTGTTGCTTTTCTGCTACGTCTCTTTTCTCTTGAAAGTGTCCTGTGTCCCTCAACCAAACTCTCCTGTGGTTTCTGGTACTAGAGTACTAGAACAGGATGTGCCCCACCAGCCATTAAAGTGAAAGCAGTCTCATGTGACTGCATAACAGCTCTGCAGTCAAATTCTATACACCAGTACGCTGAGTGCATAAATCAGAAATGCAACCCATGTCAAAAAGTCCAGATCCTGACTTGCCCATGGTATTTAGCAGGGTTCACTGGAAGTTTTTATTGGGTGGTTTTATTATTTTTTTAAATGTCTATCCTTATGACAGCAAGCTTACAAACATTCAGTGACTAAGTGTTCATTGTCAACATGCATGAGATTGAGTACACAAAGCCTATCTACTGGCACCATTTCATCTACAGTTTCCTGTTATCTTATGGGAAAAAAAAATAATTGTATCTTGGCTTAAAGCAGTGAAGTCATCTGATTCTAGTTGTTGTTGTTGTTTCTTTTAATACGTTTTCTTTTAAGCATAAACAGAGTTGAGAAATAGGGTGTTTGGTAGTAGCTATTTTCCACAGTACGGAAGGAGAAATACTGCCTTCCACATCAGGGGAGAATGACCATTGTGCTGTGACAGCCTCCTTAGTGCTTTCACACCAGGCTCCTGAGAGCTCATTAAGATTGAATTCTCCATTTTCACTAAAAGTTCATATTTACAGCATGGTTTTAAGGGGGAAAAAAAACCAAAAGTGATATATTTGGATGAAAACGCATTTGGAATGCTGCATATGCAGTATTTCTTTATTCACCAAATAAATGATGTTAAGCATAAATACTGTTGTTTGCAAAAAATTAAGCTTTGAAATGACTGAGCTCCCAGCTTTGCAGAAGGCAGTCTCTAGAAAGTTGTTTGCTCCTCTGATGTCCCTGTAATCCCTAAGGTCCTGTGTTTCCCCCTTAGATTTGCTCTCCTCAGTCTGCCATTCTGTGCAGGGGGACACGTCCACCTCACAGGGCAGCCTCCCAAAGGAGTTTCAGGGAAATCATGAGAAAAGCAGCCCGTGAGATGCTTAGATTTAGTGAGATTACCTGCCCAGCCGCCAGCCACCAGGGAGGTTGCCTTACTGCAGCAAAGCCCATCCCGTAGGTGTACCCTCAGTGCACACACAGTGATCTACTGGACAGTTCCAAGGCCATGGCCATGGCCATCACCTTGTGCTGGGCTGCCCCCACCCACCCAATCAAGCTCCTGGTTAGTGGTAGCAGTGCCACGCTGCTTGCTCAGCATTGCAATTTCCTTCCATCTCTCTGTTAGAGGAAGTGAAACCACTGAGACATATTTTTGCGTTCTGAGGTGCCAAAGTAAAATGAAGTGCTTCGGGCAGAGGAGAAGGGTGGCTGAGAAGAGTGGCTGTTATGGAGAGCGGGAGGAAAGCGTGTCTGCTCCGTGATCATTTCTGACAGTGCTGCAAAGGGTGTGATAAAGCATGTGCTACATTCAGCAGAGTAAATAAGAGTTGTTTATCCTTGGATACTGCCGTCCGCATTGACAATTGCAGTTCCATTTGCAGAACAAGTAAGTAATTGATTTTCTTAAGAGGAAGTTTGTGTGCAGGAGTCCTGTGAGCGTTCTGGTTAAACTCAGCTTGACTGAAGTATTTGGCTGCAAAAGGTGTGCTCACTCTTTCTGGCAAAGGTGGTAAGGAAAAATGTGCTTAGGGAACAAAAGCAGCTTGCAGGTCTTTTTTGATTGACTGAGATGCTGAAGTGTGAAATTTATGCATTCTACCATTAAATTAGAAAACGTGTTCTAATCACACAGGGAAGAAGCAGCTGGTTAGTGCTGTTTTGCTCACCCTTTAATGAAGGAGTTGCAGTTATCAAATATTTTCAGTTAAGGTTGGAGAAGAAGTAGGGGTTTGTGTCTGCTTGTCCTGGAGGACAGCCTCCTTTCCCTTCCTGGGCTGGAGCCCACCTGATTGCCCAAGCACAAACAATCAAAAAGAAACTATTTTAGAATTCAGGGAGTCTCTGTTTGGCATCTGCAGAGTTTGTTTTCATTAGAAGAAGAGAAGAAAAAAAAAAGAATTTTCAGACCCTGTGTTTACAAAGTAAACTTTATGTATGTGAAATACATGTGAATGGCTGAAGCTGGGCCTCATGGGGCTGCAGGAAGACAGTGGTCTGTCCCTGAGCTGCTGCAGGAGGTGCAAATAAGCATAGTTTTGATAGTTTTGGTGATTGAAATGTGTTCTGGGATCTACTTAAATGTTCACAGACGGATTCCTTAATGAGGTGGTATTACCAAGTGTGGTAAGAAGCCATTAACCCATCCTTTGTGGCTGTTTCCCCAGTCAGCATAAGACACGGATGAGCTTATGTGCACATATTGCATATACTTAATGCTCTGAAAACCAGCAGCCTCAGACTGCACTCAGAGAATCTCCATACTGACAAGGATTTTTGTTTACATTACGTGTATTACATATATGTGGGATCTGTAATGCATTGATTACATGAAATGTGATAGAGGAAGATTTACAGTAGTAGACACAGGGAATCAGTGTTTCTAATGGAATAGCACTGGGAATTGTCATTACTCGTGGTTTCTTAGTCCTATTAGTGTCCAGTTCATAGCTGCTCCCCTGCAAAACAGAGGCAGGAATTTGCCAAATACGAGACTGAAAATCAGATAAAGGTTACAGATCATCTAATCACATAGGATAGGTTTATTGTCCTAATCAGATATTCCATCAATCCATATATAGAAAATAATTTTGAGCAAGTTCTTTTTTTTTTCTTTCCAGTTTTCTCAATCCTGTAACAATCTAAAAAGGCATAAACCTAAAACAATAGAATATTAGGGACTGAAAGATCTTTCTACAACTATATTCAGTAAGATTTTATTATTTCTGTTGTAATTACTGAGGAGTAAGATGAATGGGCAGACATGGAAATGCTTCTCAAATAGCATGTGTGTGATGAGGTATTGACTGCATATTTATCTGTTTTTTTTCCTTCTCCAGTGGCCACGGATGTCTTCAATTCAAAAAGCTTGGCCATTCAGGCCCAGAAAAAGATCCTTGGGAAAATGGTATCCAAGTCAATAGCAACTACTTTGATAGATGATACCAGCAGTGATGTTTTAGATGAGCTCTACAGAGTGACAAAGGAATACACGCAAAATAAAAAAGAAGCAGAGAAGATCATTAAAAATCTCATTAAAATAGTCCTCAAATTGGCAATTCTCTACAGGAACAATCAATTTAATCAAGATGAAATTGCACTGATGGAGAAATTCAAGAAGAAAGTTCATCAGCTGGCGAAGACGGTGGTCAGTTTCCATCAGGTGGATTATACCTTTGACAGGAATTTTTTGTCCAAACTGTTGAATGACTGTAGAGAGTTGCTTCATCAGATCATTCAGCGTCACCTAACTGCAAAATCGCATGGACGTGTCAACAATGTGTTTGATCACTTCTCTGATTGTGAATTTTTGGCTGCCTTGTATAATCCCTTTGGACCTTATAAACTTCATTTGCAGAAACTCTGTGATGGTGTCAACAGAATGCTAGATGAGGGGAACATATAAGCACCTGTGCTAAAGTTGACTGCCCGTGTGTTATTTGTAGATGGAACACTGTTGATTTATGAAGGAATAAGGGAGCATGAAAATGGGGATTTTTTTTATATTGTGACAAATATTTCAAAATAATCTTTATTAAACTGATTACTTCTTATGAGCTATCTATTGCTATTTGCAGTCCATCTGGAAGAAAAATGGCACATTACCTTCTTTTACCATGCTTTGTTTGTGGGAACAGCTGGATAAAGAGAATAGAATAGAAAGGTCCAAATAGACTACAAGTCTTGCAAGATAGATACAGAAAACAAACTAGCTTGCTGTCAGACAATCCAGATATTTACACAAATATTTATAAACCATCAGAGTCCAGTAATGTTGGTAACATAGTGTTGTGGTACACTCTATAATTTCTTCAACTTATTTGTAACATTTATATCTGATTCATTTATATTCTTTAATGCAATCTGCACAGATCACGGCTTCCTAGTTTGCTCTTGCAAAACATTAAGTTTTGCATAACACCAGTGATGCTGTCACAGCATCTGAGCTGGTTGGTGTATCTGCAGCTCAGTAATGTCTGAAAGGCTATCAGGTGATCATTGCAGATGTACGCAGATGCTTTGTTTCCTTTGTTTCAGGAACAATAAGCTACAGTGAAGTAGCCTGAGTGGGGGAAAAGTACGCCCTAGACAAAACCTGCAGTACAGGCATGTGAAACTGTAAGGTAAAACACAGTGATTTACTTTTGCAATTCCTTAAGATTGTTAGAATCCTGCTAATATGGAATAATTCTTTCAGCAAAGGTGCAGTTCAGCTTATTTTATGCATTGGGCTTATATACATTCAGAAAGCTTAATGATCTGAAAAATAAATTCCATGCCAGTTTGCTTTGTTACAGTGTATCTAGAAACAAATCATTTTGGGGTTGGATGCTCTTGAACTACTGGAGAAGTGACATCTTGAATCAATTTCTATTCTCACCTTCTCTCCTACTTTTCATTCTTCCTCTTCCTCCCTCATCTTCTCCCTGCCTGGCCCTTGGGGTAAATAAATGTGACTTTCTAGACACTGTAATGTACTTAAAAGTATGAAGCTAATACATTTCAAACACCTGAAGACTTTTGTTAGGAAGCATATATTTGCAGTTTTTTTTTAATTTGCAGAATTTGCAGTTTATTTAATTGCCAGTTTTTTGCTGTTTGCTGTGTCTTTTGTTTTAATAAGTAAACCAAAGAATATTTGCACTCTGAACTTTCCATGTTTTTTTTTCACCCTGTTGCAATTTGAATTACAAAGAAAGTACTTGGAGTGTGCAGGCAACCAGAACATTATAGTTTCTGACATATTGCTTCCGCATCACTTGTCAATTTTTAGAGTGCAGAGTTCACTTTAAATCATATTCACTCAGTCACTAGGCTCTGAATATCCCCAGAAAGGCAGTAGGGATTTGCCAGAGAAATGTGTGTTCAAAACACAAACTCGTTCTGTACAAGTCATTAGAATACAAGAGGGAGAGTTGATTAATATACTGTAATGCTGGAATAACATGGAAATGATGTAAGTGCCTCAAAATTAGAGAAGAGTTAGATTATTTGTTTGACATCTGAATGAGTGTGAGTTAAGGTCTGTCCCTCCTGTTTTACTGAAGTAGTAAACACATTTCATATTAGCCTACCAGAACTCATTTGTAGGGCTACAACATCATAAGGAAAATATAGTACTGGATTTCCAAAGACTGGCTTTCAAATAGCATGGCATAGCACTTATGCTGATCTGTTTTGCAGTCCTTTTATTTTTCCTGCAGCATAAATAAACAATGATTTTAAGTATCAAAACTCACAGATAAATTGATAGCAGTTTTCCTAGTCCCACTTGATGTCCTTGCATCAACCCTCTAGCACAGATTTGCTACATTCTATGTCTGGCTGCGCTTAAAAATGAAAGGGTTCCAGTAGTGCTGTTTGATTATAGACAGAATAATGTCATTATTGTGTGTAAAAAAAAAAAAAAAAAAAAAAGTAAAATTGATCCATCACTTTTAATAGTGATTGGCCAAGAATTATCAAACAATTGTTACTTCAGCCACACAGATTAAAAAGAGATGGGATGGTTATTGTGCCCATTTTATGTGTGTCATCTTAACAGTGATTCATGAGAACTTTTGATTGTCCCTTTACCATGTTTTTAAAGTGTGTGTGTGGATGCAGAAGTCGCAATTAAGCATGATAAAGGAATTACTTTCTTATTTAAGCTCTGGAGATTTTTCTCCATTTGGAAAGTACAGAAATTATCAGCAGGACTCCGGAAGCTTTCAGACAGTGTTTGTATTTAGGAGAATGACAAATCATATCTCTTCTAAAATAAGATTCAGCCCCTCCCTTAAAGTCCTGTGGAATAAAAAAATGAAGAGATGGCCAATTGTTTTCTCACATCTCCCCCTAGAAATGGATTGCATTGTCCCAAGAAAAGAGTGGTCTCATTTTAATGCCAGTTTGATGTAGCTGCTTTCCAGCACAGGTAGTTATCACCATTCCAGTTGCAATGTGACTTGAAAGGTAAGCTGGACCCATACGTGTAACCCCCCAAGAAACTGGAACATGCTTGTTTTCATGGTCATATATTTGTAACTCCATCATGGTCAAAGATGACAGTGTTAGGAAAAAGAGATAAGTCGCACACTGCAGGCTTAAGTGGTCACACACTGATGAACATTCATCACCCAGTAACCTACTGCCATAGCTTTCCTTCACTTTATATTGTTATCCTGACTACTAGGAAGCAGGAATACCTGCTTTTCAGCCATGTCTGATTATCTGTTTCCTGTTTGTTCATTTTGTCCCTATTATATTATGTATACATCTAAGGAGAACATTAGATGGAATTGATTACACACATAATGCAAAAAGCAGGCCTAAATATTGGTTTCCTTCTCAAAGTAATTTGAAAATCTGTAAGAGCAATCTAACACTCAATTTAGCATTTAGTACTGTTTTTTATATAATTTGTGCTTTCACCATTACCAGCTATTTCTGGTGAGTTTGTAAAATACAGGGAATGAAATACGTCTTCTACCAATCTGTAATTTTCTGCTTCTATCACCCCAGTTTCTTGAGAAGCGTCCCTTCTGGCATTTATTCCTGTTAAGGAGCAAACTGAAAAGAGGCAGCTCGTATCTTCGAGGTGTCTCACAGTTGTGCAGCACCAAGCAAAGAAGCAGACTAACAATTAAGAAGAATAAAGCTGAGGAGGTAAATTACTTGCCCAGTTTTCTCAAGCAACCACAATCTGTTTGCTGTTTGTTGTTTTCCCTTGTGGGAACATCGTGCTGCTATAGGTGGAGAACAGAGCTGGAGCTTCCTACAGCTGCTGTTAGATATAAATTACTGTTATCATCACCCATAAGATGTTCCACTTTCCAGCTTAAGAATGCTAGTGCTGGATTTTAAGATCATATTTCCTGTTGGCTTCAAGACAAAGTATTTCCCATTTTGATTTGAATTAAATATTTGGATTTAGAAAGTGCTTTTATTATGCACATAAGTATGAGCTGAAATAAAGGAAAAGAATGCAGCCCTGTACAATGTATCTTTTTTCCAAGGTACGTCTTTTTTTTTTTCCTTTTTTTTTTTTTTTCAAATGGGCATTTTGTGATCTACAAAGACATTTTTGGGCAGTTGAAACTCTGAAGGTTTTGATATATGAAATTGTTCTGAGAGAAGACTGCTGGCTTTTCACCCACTTGTCCTCCAGTTCCTGTTGGCAGCCCCACTCACTTTAAGCGCAGTAATTTAGAGCTCATTTGCAGCAGCCTTTCTGCAGCATTTTGTATCAAGTTTTTCAGAGTTTGTTTATCTTTGATTCTTCTGGCCATGCCACAGCTAGTAGTGGATGAAAAATCTTGTTACATTTGAGCTGTGTGAAGTTTTTTTAAAACAGAATTACTATGTCAGAAATCAGCCCATATTACAACACCAGTCCCTCTGTCCCCCAGCAAGGGAATGTCAGCAGACTTGTTTTACATGTTTTGAAATAGTGCTGAAAAATTGCTTGGCCTTTGTGAGTAGAATCTCCCTTCATCTGATGAATCAGTTTCTGTGTCTGAGCTTGGCTCAAGTCCTGAGGAGAATGTTCCCTGGCTGTTGGTATTGCAGTGCACCACTGTTAAATTAGGCATTCTTATGATACGAAGAGACACAGATTCCCCAGTACAGAGGTGCTTAGCTGATGCTCTCAGTTTACTTCATTGTCTGGATTTGAGATAATTTGATCTTCTTGCTTTGTTTGAGGGTTGTTTTTATTTTATAAAGTCAGTATCTATACTATATCTCATCTGCTAGACCTTCAAAGAGACTGCAGAAGTAGAGCAGACTGAGGCAGTGATTTGAGCCAGGGGAAGTGCTTTGGTCCATTTGGCCAGTGGCATGAAATTAGCTGCTCATTTCAAGAAAACTGATTCTGTATCTCAAGGATCTTGATAATTCAACAACAGTAAAATGATCTCATTCTTGGAACTAAAGGGAACCTGCCCAACTCAAAAGCTATTTGCATCAGTCATAAACTGCTTGCTTCTATTTCAATGGTACGGATACTCCCAAATGTACGTTGGCTGTGCCATCAAAAAAGGAACTGTTAGGGAAACAGGGAAAGCTCAGCACTTTCATGGGAGAAAGGGCTGTGATCAGACACCAAGATTTCATTAACTTTGCCTCGCTTTCTTCACTGTGATAAGGTCTGCCTACAGTAAGCATCTGTCTTTGTCTGGCTGAGTAAGACAATATGTTTGATCTTACAGTTCCAGTATCCCATGGCATTGCAATCTACATTTTACCCCATAGCTGAGACGGGAAAGAAAGCCTTTTACAAATTGTTACTGATGAGAATTAGTTTCCGCTTCTTTTAGAACTCTGGTTAGGGAATTAGGCTGTCCCACTTCACTCCTGATTGATTAACAAAGCAAAGGCTGAGGAGGAGTAATGGCTTCTGGAGGACAAGGAGTTTATGTAATTACTAACTTAACTCTGCCTACCCATCCTGCTTCTCAATTAATCAACTGTTCCATACTTCATTTAATTGTAACTAAAACTGCTCTTCAGGCTGGGGAGGAATCCTCATTACAGAATACATTTGATCTAGGCCAGGGCTGTTCAGATTTCATGTACGTTTTTGGGGTGGTTGAGGTGGAAGCTGGTGGACTGGGTATTTCTGAGAAACAGATGGAAGTCTGCCACAGCTGGAGATTAGACAGTGTGCAGTGTGCGCACACACACGCATTAAAAAAAAAAAAAAAAAAAAAAAAAAAAAAAAAAACCACCTCCTTCTGTAATAGCATCAGAAACAAGAACCCTGGAATGTGCTTGGAGGCAGCTTGAGGAAAGAACTAATTTTTGGAGGCACAGCTTGAAAACAGTTTATCTTTTGTACTGATTTTCTGTTCAGTAGAGTATCTGCTTGGGTTTATCCTAATAATGGAACCTCTTGGAATTTTTTATCCCAAAACTCAATTTGGCCATTAATTCAGGAAGCAACTCACTGAATCAGTTTTCTCGAGAGGATTTTCAACTCTTCCATCTATTCAGTAAAGATTTATCTCAAAGAATTACAGAACTTGCTTGGACGTTCTATCAGGGGAGCACAAGTACTGTATGCTGTTGACTGATGAATGTGCATCTCTATCAGGGAATTCATCCTCTTTGACCGAGTGCACAGCTTTGGGAGGGATTCATAAAGCAGTGAGGGAAGAGGGGGACACCCACCCAACCAGCCAGATCAGACAAATACACCCTGGACATCAGTGAAGCTACGGATTTCACAGCCAGACCACCCCCACATCTCAGAATCTGTAGAATCTCTTAAACCATAACTTTGTTGTAGAGCCAACACGCAGCAGATTTTCAGAGAATGCTACACATGGTTCTTTGCTTGTCTCTTTATCTCTTATTTTAGTCCATATGTTTTTTATTGTCTCCCTTTTCTTTCCTTTAAGGAGATCAATGGATTTCTAAGGAAGAAACATTTAGAGTGAAATTTAGGGCTGTGCTATAGGAGCAACCTTTTGTTGGCATCTCCCCAACATATATTTTTAAAGCTATGACTGTGCACATGCAACAAGTTTCTGTTAATGAGTTTATTATAGTAACGTTTTACTACATGCAAGCTGAGCAATCCACCAAACTCTGACTGACTCCGGGCTTCGGTCTCCATTAAACCTTGAGTCTCTCATGGAATCAAATGGAGAGCATCCACAGTGCTCTGCCTATGCTCCCAGAGTGGATTTTCCACTTAATTGAGCAGTATAGGCAACAAATCAAAAAATTAGTGTTTGTTACCAGAATAGGGGCATGAGACCTCGTATAATACAGGCTGTTGACAAAAGCTATAAAAACATTTCCATTTCCATTTGTAATTAGCTCACAAGAATACAAACCCTGCTAGCTGCACAGTGTGCTGCTCCTGAACATCACATCATGAAAACTACTTTTTGAGTGTGAAAAATGTTGGATTCAGTGAAAGAAAACCCCACTTACAAACTAGCATAGACATATGAACACAGAAGACAAGTTAGAGTGGGAATCATATACTTGGTATTTCTACAGATAAGAGAATTAACAGAATCACTATATATGCCAGCTATGAAAATTCCTAAGTGGGGAGATTATATCACATAAAATAGTATATCTAATCAAAGCAAATTGTTTTATCTGATCACTTGTACTGAGAGAGTAATAGGGTGAGGTGAGCCATCCCAGCATTGCCTGTAAGATGAGCTTTTGTGATGAGCTCAAGGCTGAGATATCTCAGTGACCTTTGTGAGCTGACAGCCAGTGCTGCGCTGCAGCAAGAGAGAAAATCGGAACGACAGTGAGACTGCACAATGGTTTTGTAGAGCAGAAAGCATCTATATTAAAAACACCTGGGACTTCTCCAGCTCTGTGACTGTTACCACATGTAGGGTGTTACCATCTCTGTCTGCCGTGCTTTTGTACTGCTTATTGAAAGCTGCCACATTTTTAGCATGGAA